TCTTCCAACCCTGATGGAGACATACGATAAGACGCATGGGCAAAGATTTTTGCCCCTGGAATCAATTCGATGGCATGGTCAATCTCCCGCCTCGATGGTAATGTGGCTGACAATTCTTTGGGCACCACGTTCTTGAATTTAGCCAGCAACTGTTGCACTGGTTCAGAGACTTATAATGCTTTAGACTCCTTATCCTCAAATAAAACAACCAAGTATGTTGTTTCCCCTTGATTAGCATCTGATAATGCATTAGTTTGGTGGTTGATATGAGTTATTTACATGGGATAGAGTGGTAAATGTATTAATTTACTTGGAATTTGGTATGATTCTACTTATGGAATGTTTGTTCATTTTGTACGTCAATAATGTAAATGGAAGAAGTATTGGTGAATTTTAAATGGGCAAGAGTTGGAAGCTAGAAGTAGGACTGTTAAACAAGTCAAACTTGAACATTTTTTTAAGCTCGTTTATGTATAAATAGTCAAACAAGTCAGCTCGTTTAAGTGTAAATAGTCTAAGGTTTGTGCTCGAATTCAGCTCGATTATCACCCCTAGCTAGAAGAGGAGGATGAGAATACTGTTTCTTGCGTCCAAACAAAGGTTGCTATTGCATCCAGACAGAATGTCCAAAATGGGCATGTGGGGATTTTGAGGGTTGGAGCATACTATCTATTGCGTCTGAACGAGTTCCTTACTTGTGTTCGGACGCGTATTCTTTCTCGCCCAGAGTGCTGAGCATGGAGTTGTAACTTAGATGGGATTGTTTGTTTTTTTGGATATAAATAGAAAATAGTTACTGGATTTAGGGTTGTTGATTATATTCTATTCTTTGTGTTTTTGCAACTATGTCTAGCTAAAGATCCCAACTAAAGCTAGGGGAGAAACTTTCAATGAAACACAGTTATACCCTTATTAATTTAAGGGTATAACTGCTTATGTTATTTTGTTAATTTAACTTTCATCTTTTAGCGAAATTTTTGCTCTGTAAAGATTCTCGATCCGTTGTGTCATGTACATCGATTTTCTTGAATTTTCATGTGAGTCAAATGACTGGTTATCCATATTTGAATTAATTAATTAGAATTTCTCATAAGATAGTTGATTTATTATTTATAATAAAATAAAGTTTACCTTTTGGAAAGCTTGATTTATCGTAGATTCCGGGTACGATGAATACTTGTGATCAATAAGTAAATTTTTATATTTATTCAAATAATTCATTAATTATAATTTTTGATGTTTTTACATTATCACCGTTAAATATTCTAATTGAAATCACTTCTCAACTAATTCTCAATTGAGTTCGAAAACTGGATTATCAATAATTATCGAGTGGATTTGAAAGGGTATTCCCGATATTTTGGTACTTTCAATTATTGTGTTAATACCAAATTTATTGTTTTCTAATTTCAAAATCTCTACAATAATTTTTTCAAAGCAATTTTCTTTTATTTTTATTTGTGTTATAAGTTTTCTCAATTTTTTGTGGTTCGACCTCAGGCTTTCGAGTATTATATTACTTCACAACAATTTGCATTTGTGTAATCAATTCTAAAGTTATAACACTCATTTTCACAAGTCATCTTTCAATTGCAAGGCAGGCAACATTTTCCCGAAGACTTGGCCTTGATGAGGGATACAAGACAGGGATTGGGCATGTCCATCACGAACATCCCATGCAAATGAGGCATCACTGACACCTTTGCCTTAGTAATAACTTTTAGCCCAAGGATCACTTACAAATCATCAAGAGGGATTGCAATAAAGTCGCATAGTCCTTATCAATCACCAACTTTTAATGGGACTTCTCTAGCAACACCGCCTACTGGTTCTACTTCTGAATTGACAGCCTTGATCTGACTAGAGTCTTTCGTCAAAGTCAAAGCAAGTCGCTGCACTTCCTGATCAGAAACAAAGTTATGCGTCGCACCTGTATCAACCATCACCTGGACAACTATATTGTTCATATGAATCTACACGAACAACAATCCCTTCCTTGCCACCGTCTCCTCTTTGTGAATTGCATTAAGGAGCTGCAATGGATTGACTCATGTAGGCTCGTCTGAAAGGTCAGCATCCTCAATCATGAAGGCACTGGGTTTTTCCTTCTTGAGGTAATTTCTGATGCGATGAGGGTCATTACAGATAAAACAACCCGAGTCAGCACCTCCTTTTGACACAGAGGGTTTGTCAATTTGCTTATCGGTGCTACTAGACTTCTCGACCTTCTTCTTCTCCTTATCCTTCTTTTGAAACTTGGTTTTCCCTTTAGACTTTTTCTTTAGAGGGTTAGCCTACTTCTTTTAATCAATCAACGTGTCTGCTGCGAATATAACAGCGGGTAAATCTTTCACTACTTGCCGACAAAGTTCAGCCTGCGCCCAAGTTTGAAGGTCAGACATGAGGTTGAACAGTTTATCTTCCACCGATATGTTTTTGATGTTAAGCATTAGAGACGAAAATTACTTCACGTATTCCTTCACTATGCTTATATGTCGAAGCTTTCTCAAAGCATCACGGGCTTGCCAAGCCATGTTGCTTGGAAGAAATTGCTCATTCATTTCAGCGGATAAAACATCCCATATAGTGATTTGAGGACGAGACTTGTCCTTTGATCGTAAACGCCACCATAATTTAGCATCATCGGATAAGTATATGCTAGTGAGATCTATTTTCTTGACATCTGGGGTACAAACTACCATGAAATAGTGTCTCATATCCCACAAAAAGTTTTCAAGCTCTTTAGTGTTATGACTGTCTGTGAAAGGCTTAGGGTCAAACACCTTTGCTTTTTGCATGCTTTCACTGTCAGAACCAGAAGGGGAATTTTGTAGTGCTTTCTTGAGTAGTGATACATTCGTCTTAAGGGAACTCCGTTTTTCCCCAAATCGTGGTCAGCACATCAACAACTTCGTTTTTCAACTGACTAAAGTGATCATATTCAGTCTTTTTGAAGTTGTTCTTGTGACACCCGCATTTCTTCAAACCGTTGGTACAATAACTCAAGTTGCACAAAAAAGGCCATAGCATCACCAGACTATGGAGGACTAACCAATTCCTCCTAACGTGCCACCCTTTCTCTCAAATCTGCATTCGTTCCGCCAGCCATGAGTCAATCTTTCTGCCAAAACCAACACTCTGATATTAAACTGTCATGAGATAATTACTCGTTTTTCTTTTAAGGTTACCCGTGGAGGCGTTGCCACTGCAACCAACCACACAAACTCAAGTATAAGGACACACAAACTCACACAAAAGTAATACACGAATTTACTGAAAAAACACTCCCAAAACTTATATTGAAACTCTCTACAATTACAAGGAACTCAAAGCAAGAACACTCTTTCTGCCTCTAAAGAATACCCAAGTATCCCTATTTATACAAGAAGTACAGCAGATGCACTCCCATCTGTCAAGGGGTTGTTACAATAATCTATCTATTCTCTAGTAGACTTGGTTAACAAGGCTATTTCTCTGCGCGACACCTGGCAAGTAGTTCCACCCATTCAACACTTGATGTGGAGTTGTTTTTATCTGCATGCACCTGGACCAAAATGTGGCTAAGAACGCCCATAACTGCCTTCCTCAGACTAGGTCATATTTAACAACTACTTTGACTGAGTCATGCACCAAAAGCTATTCACATAATCCTGCCCACATCCTCTTGCTCACATGCATTGAGCAGCCATGTGCTAGCCTTGTGCCCACAATTCAACAGTCAACCTTGCCCATGAACCAAAGTGCATGCTAGGTCAAGCTTATGCAATGCAATTAGAAGTCATGCACCAATATTGTCTCAATTGAGTCCACTGTGTGCTGTCGTGCTCAACTGAGTGGTCTCATACTATCACAGTTCACACCCATCCTTCGAATCATTTAACTGCATCACTTTGATTCCATCTCATTTCGTGCCTTGGTACAAGGTGCCACTAAGACCCGCCATTGTGCCCTTAAGTCAGTTAGGGTGTGACATATATACACACACACACACATATATATTTAATTGATAATTGAGAGAAATTATTATATATACATACAAACTTTGTTAGATTATAATTGAGATTTACGTAAAATTATTGAATAGAATAATTGTGTGATAAATTAGGTTGAAAGTTAACATAAATTTAATAAAATTATTAAAGTTGAGATTCAAAATTTTTAGATCAAATGAGATAATCAATTATTAACAAATACTAATATGAATTAAAATTTTAAAATTCATCGGGTAAATAAATCGAATTTAAAACTCAAATTTTTTTATCAAATTCAAATTTAGACAAATGGATCGATTGACAGCTCATCAGCTCTACTCTTATTCCATTACATCAAAAACCTAAAACAAAATTATGGACATGTATGTGGGTCTAATAGTTCGACCCATCAGTGCCACATGTTCACAATTTCCACAATTTTGACGTTTGAAATGAAAGTCCACGTTAGGCAGCTAATCGGTTTCAACTTTTTCCTTCTTTATTTTTTTGTTCCGGTGGACGGGTCAGTGGTATTTGAATTAATTTATTTATATTTTGATTAATTTTATCTCTGATTAGATAGGTTATTTTTAAAATATTTATGAAAAATAAATTTTTTATTATTTAATTTTAAAATATTATTTAAATTTGACTCAAATACGTCTACGTTTATAAATAGGATCGTTAATCAAATTGAATTATTTGAGAATCGTTAATCGAATTGAATTATTTGAGATTGGAGTGAGTTTGGCTTGGATTCAGTTCGTTTAAACGAATTTGAACTTGAATAAGTTTTTACACTAGTTTAAAAAATAAGTCCTACCCGTGTGACTCAAATTCGATAAGCTCGATTCGTTTATGTATAAATATGCGATTCAAATTTGATAAATTCGGTTCGTTTATATACAAATATTTGAGCTCTGCTCAGACTTGACTCAAGTTGGACTTGTTCAGATTTAACTTATTTACTAAACGAGTCGAATTTGAATAATTTTTAAAACTCAATTAAAAAATACTGATTCGACTAACAGCCCTATTTAGAAGTCCATGTTTTTTGAACAAACTTTGGGTTCTACTTTTTCCTTCGAACGAGCGCGAGACGATTCGTTCCAAAGGCCCACCGTCGTCGCTAGCCGACGCTTAAGTCAGACGAAGACAGTTTTCGTGAACCTTCGAAGTTCGAACTACTCGACACACACGCTTACGCATCAATCTTTACCACCACCACCGTCCCTTACGTTAAAGTCATTTTCTACGAACATGTCAAACTATCCACTTTATTTATTCTTTCATCATTATTGTTCCCACAAAAACTTAAACTAATCTCCATCTCTCTCTTTCTCTCTCCGAATTGCATTCACATCCCATCTTCTGTTCAGCATTTGTGGTTCTAATTGTAAGATAAAGTCGTGCGATTTTCGACTTTTTGGATCTTGGAAGCGTTTGTTTGCTTGAAGAATTATTGCAAAGAATGGTTCAGATGAAGGAATTGTATCCTTTTATTACAGATGTAACTTTGTCAAAGTGGGTGTAATCTGTTTACTTAAATTCATCAACTCGATGTGTTTTTTTTTTTTAAATTTATACTGATTTTATCAAGTGGGTATAATTTATGTGGATGAATTTATCAACTCCATGATGTGTTCTTTCAATTTATACTGATTTTACATTTTCTAGTAAGATGGAAGTTTTCTGTGTGTATTGAAGTGTATAGGGATGTTTCAATTTTCTCCAATTTCCGCTTTCGAGTTCAATCCAGAAAATTGTGTCGTTTCTGGGAATTTCCTTGACCAACATTCTCTTTTTTTGGGGCTTTTCTCAAGTCGGATTGTCATGCCTTTATCGCTGGACGAGGTATATCAAGGTAACATATTTGATAATTTATTAATCTGATATGAGTAGTGTATCTAAGATGTTTAATTTGATTTCAAACACAGTATCAGATTGCTCAGATGTACGTGGTCATGAAACTGCAGCAACAAAACACAAAGGGTAATGAAGGGGTGGAGGTTTTAGAGAACAGACCCTTTGAGGATAATGTACTGGGGAAGGGTCAATTCACATTAAAGATTTATCGCCTGCAAAGGTACTTTGGAACATAATTCTAGTTGTAATTTTGAAATTATTTGTTGCACCCCTCCATATTGGGACTATTTTCATTGATGAACTTCATAATAGAACAACTTAGCAATATGTTTTGGTAGCTACATATTCTTGTCTACCCTACATGTTAGACATTTCAATGACGTGTATAGTTGTAACCCCTCATATATTGTTATGAATGGATAACCTTTCCATGAACGAATAAATAGGTGAATTTGTAAAGTTGTAATGGGCATATTCCTTATAGTATTATATGGATGTCAGTTTTGGTAAGCAAGGGATAGATTTTCAAGCAGTAGATTCTTGAAGGTCGGATATTCCCCTTAGAGCTACTCCCGAGATGTCATGAGCTTTTTTGGATGCTAATGTCGTCAAATGTTCTTATCATCTCAGCTGGTCATTCAATGGGAATTTCTAGATTCATATTCATATTAAAGATATGCCCGAATCAAAAGAAAGACCAGGGGCTTTAGCTTCTTCATGTGTTGTGATGAATGGGTGTCTTTTAATGAATGGATGACTTTTTCACATTTTCTTATGAATAGGTCCCTTTTCATGCATACGTGTCTTGATATGAAAATGTGTCTTTTAATGAAAGGGCTTCTTTGCACCTCTTCATTCTCTATAAATTGGAGTGCCTTCTTCCCATTTCAAATACACCAAAACATTTTCTACTATTCCTCCTCCTGAAACACTCTTGCTTACTTGTGGCATTATCCTTTTTTATTCCGAAAGTTCAGGCTATTCTTAGGTTGTGACAAATCCTTTGAATAGTAGAACGTAAATATGGGCCCTTGTATCGTGGGGACAATTTACCTTCTAGTCCTTTTTGCACTAACAATTCTTATTGGAAAGGCGGTAAATTCGTCTTAATGATAGCTAATACATTCGTGTCTTGAATTCTAGATTTTATTTTTTTCTCCATTATTTGACATACACCTTCCAACATGCATGTATGCATCTAGTGTTTGTTTGTGCATTAAGATTCTTAAATTTTAACCTGGAAGTTATTCTTTCTAATTTTCATTGGGAAGTCGCCAGGTCTACGACCTAGTACACTTTATATATACAAACCTATTAGGAACAAAATTCTGATTTAAAAAATCCTCAGAACCATTAGTAAAGCAAGTGCTTCAACTTGAACCTTGGCACCTTTACTATGTGAAATGAGCTCTATATTCTACTTTGACACACACTAGGAAAGTGTAAAAGCATTACCTTCCACATTAACTCCCCATGCTTACTACATTCATCAACAACATCCTTCTAAGGTAAAGCAAGTGATACCCCAAGTCCATCACCTCACAATGCAAAAATAGATAACCATTTCTTTTGTTTTTCACATAGAGTGGCATTAGCTTCCCCATCTAATTATAAGATATTTAATACCCTCATTTCTCAAAAGCCGTAATCACTCAATAAAAGCCACCTTGCAGACAATTATCTTTTATATAGTACCTCTATTAGAAAGAATTCTGCCAAAGAAAGGCGTTTTGCAGTCGTTCATGTGAGAAACCGAAAATAATGAAATCGCATTGTGCTCCAATACTTGGTATGCCCTCAAACCAACACTCTGTAATAAGATGACACCTTACTTTTTTCCTCTCCCTGCCGTGTCCAGTGCACCACATCATCTCATTTTTGCATTGACACTGGCTAAATGTAATAGGTATGACGAAGAATCCATGACTTCAACTACCATTTATGGACCTACTTAATTGAGGCTTCTATCTCCTACAGTGAAACTAACTTCGGTCATTATTTTCTGCTGCCATTCTAAAGAGGTATGTTACAACAAACTTGGGGTCAGGGCTGCCTCATCAATTGTTGTGCCAGTCGCCAGATATGCGCACTCTGACTATTCCCCAAAGACTCCTTCCACTCTTTCATTATGCTTTTCCAATTTCCAGCCCATCTTGATATAACTCTGCTGTGGTTAAGGGTGGTGTTTCACCTCTTGCACCATACGTCTTATTTAAGACTTCTTTTCCACTATCCTTTCCAATGTAATTCACCAAATTGCCTACCAGTCTTGGCTTGACAATGTTATATAATGGTTTCCCAATTCTCCATAGTCCATATGTTATCAAGACAAAATAAAACAAAATCAAATAAGAACAAGTGATAATTGACATTGAGATAGAAAACAAAATGACAAAGGCCCTTCGGACTCTTCAAGTCTCTCTTCCACCAATGCTAGGATAGTGAAGGCAGACATGAAATACCTCTGGACAAGACATTTGATTAGGTACTCTCAGAAGGTATGGAGCTGTTACCTTGGATAAAAATGGTGTCTAGCACATTAAACACCTTTCCTCAAGCATGTCCCCTTTGCAGCTTTGAGAGAAGACCTTAGTGATAACCCTGCAGAATTAATTGCAGTGAACCTTCCTTCGATCCAAAGTTAGCATCATGTTGATAATTTCCATCATTGTAGGACTCGATTCATGCTTTACCAGGGTGATCTTTGCTCTTGATTCTACCTCAAACACCATGACACACACTCCTAAGGCCACACACGACCAAACCTTTGCATTTATAATTTTATTCCCTTAGAAAATGTTGCCTATTGTCCCCTACAAACCTTTTGAGCTTGGATTATCAGTTGTTTCAGCTTGAAAGAGGACCCTAATCATCGTACTATGTAGGGATGGAGACAGTTTTTTTTTTCTTGTGTGGGGGCCAAAGAGTGGCATAACTATAAACTTTTATTCAGTGGGGGTCATTCAATGGGTTGTCATCAATGGTCACATTTTAATTGTATTCATTTTTGATGAAATCGGTGAGATTAATTCGAACTTGTTAAACTATGTAGATGCAGAAAAACTTTAGATCAATTAATCAAACAATCAAAAAAATCAACAACTTAAGTGTAATTTTATCACATAATCATGCAAAGTTAACTATATTTCATTATGTCTCTGCAAAGTACAAAAAACCGAGTAAACTGTGATAGAATTTGTGTAGATCTCTTAATACTTGTTTGTATGCTTGAGAATGCCATGTAAAGTGAAATCAATAAAATAAATTTGGAGATATAAAGTATAATTTCAAAAAGTTGGCTGGGGGGGTGGGAGCATGCTCCCCGAGGCATATTAAGGATATGGGTAGGGATTCCAGATTGCAACCCAAATTTGCTATTGAAGACACGATACAATATAAAATTCAAGCGGCAAAAAAATTGATTCCACTATATGAAATAACATTATTTTTTTCCTACTATCCATTAATTTTTAAGAAATTGATCCCACTATATTTTATTGTAAAATTTAAAATTAATTTTTATTATTTAAAAAAAGTGAACAAAATTTTTTTAAAATACGTGACCCAACAAAATATCAACATGTCTGAAATAAAAATTGTATTGAGTCAAAATATAATCAAAAATTAAATAATTTAACTTGTTATAAAAATGAGCGGAAAAAATATATGGGGATAGGATTTAGACTCTTAGCTCCCTTATTATATAGATTGGGGGCAATTTGGCCGTGATTAGCATGAAAATATATAGGCTGGGTGGGATTTTCAAGTTGAAAAATTTTTTGGTGATTATTTTGAGCCGTTAGATTGAATGAATTTTAACCACTTTTGTGCTAAGATAAATTAAAAGATTCAAAATTTGTCATGATTTATTATATAGGTGATTATTTTGAGCCGTTGGATTGAATGAATTTCAATTACTCTTGTGCTAAGCTAAATTAAGAGATTCAAAATGAGTCATGTTTTATTATATAGATGGGAAGTGATTCTACCTTGTACCCAATTTTGTTACAATTTTGTTACTGATAGGAGCTTCTTTATATTAAGGATGTATCTTCTTTTTCAAGTAACTTTATGGCATCACATAGTTGAACCTTTGCTCCACCGACCAAAATATAAATCATGTGATTTGTGAACGCTTGAAGTATAAACAGTTAAGTTACACTCTCTCTAACAGTTTAAGCTTTTGGAGTAGATAGTTGTTTAACATGATATTATAACTTATAAGCTTAACTTTTAGGTGGGTATGAGTTTCAGACATGTATATTGGGCCTTCGATCAACAGGCTCCCCAGTTTCCTAACAAATGGTATCTAAATAGAAGGTCATGTATTTGAATCTTTCTGCCACCCTAATAATTAAAAAAATAAAGAATTTCATGTGCTATACCTAAAATTTAGCCCACACGCGAGGGGCATCTTGAAGTATAAATACTTTAATTATACTTTCTCTAACAAATAAAACTTTTGGAGTAAATTGTTGTTTAACACCAACAATAAATGGAATTCTAAGCACCTTATAAATCCCTCTTCGCTAGAATAAATAAAAGGAATTTTAAGCACCTTAACCAATCATACTATTAATTATTGATCACTCGTTATAATTTTGACAATAACTTAAAAAATGAGTCAGACATGTCAAAAACTTATCTAGATGGTATTTGTAAAGTGTCCTAAGTGCGTGCGTCCAAAACTTTATTTAGGTATGAGACTATACTAATTGATAGGACAAAAAAAAATAGAGTGGACACATTTAAATATATTTAAAATTATTTGAAATACACATGGCCTCTGTTCCTCAAGTGGCTCCGCCTATGTGTATGACTTCTCTTTGTAAAAGAAGATTGTGTTAGAACCTTCTGCTTAGTTAAATGTTGACTAAAATGTATTGCTCCATGGCCCTACTTTTTGCAGCAAAGCTCCTGCTTGGCTTACCGCCTTTGCTCCCCCAGATACTCTAGTGATGCAAGAGGAAGCCTGGAATGCATATCCAAGATGTAAATCAGGTTTGTTTTGTCCACTTTGTTCCTCTCTTAGCATTATATGTTTCTTCTTGATCTCGTATTGATATAAACATTGTTTTTGTCCAACATTCGACATGATGTTACACAGTAATTAAGGTAACTACATTTTCAACCTTTCAAATGTCCTTTGGTAAACATTTCAATTAAACAGAACTCATCAAGTTTGCTCTTTTGCAGTGCCCATACTTCCCTAAGTTTTGTTTAACTATTGAAACTATACACAAAGCTGACAATGGACACTTGGAAAATGTAAGCTTCTGAAAGTAAATATGTTTTCTTGAGTTTGGCACCTTATTCTTTCTTGTTGGTTTTATTGACCTCATTCAATTGGGAATTTGACCATCTAGGTGCATTGTCTGAGTAAAGAACAACTAGCAAACAGACAGCTGGAAAATATTGATATTGCTTCTGCTGCAAGCGACTATTGGGGTTACATAGTTGGAATTAGCGGTATTGATCTGTCTAAATTCCAATCGGCAAGGACTGGGCGTGGTCCACTTTTAGAGGGATGGCAGGTTGGTGTTTTATGACCACTAATTTGAAATTCTTTTGTTTTTCACATTACAGATCTAGTGGAATATGCATATTGTGGATCTGAGATTCTTGACTCTGTTGCTTACTATAAGGTTTAGTCAAAGTTTTGAACTATTGGCATTACTTAAACCCCCAATAAAAGAATATATTCTGGACCGTAGTCCCTGCAATCATCCAATTTCCGGTCCTAGATCTTATTAGTTATTATATCTTTTGACAAAAAAACTTTATACAAGATAACTATGGGACAGTCTTCAGTCGTTGGATTCCAAGAAGATGCACGGTACTTGATAGAAAATCCTTTTCAAATATAGAAGCATAAAATTTTGGCCGTGATTAGTAATTTGTTGGTCCAGGTAACAGGAATGTAGGTATTACACTTTTTTTTTTATGAACTTGAAAAAATCTTTTCATTCCTAATAAAGTAATAGTGCTCTCTCAGAGAACAAACCCCCACTTATGCCCATATCAACCAATCAAAGGTTTGTTGGTCTCAATCATGATGCATGAGATACCACACCATATTATAAGCATGTGGTCAGGCTGAGGAGTACTCGTGAGCTTAAATGATTAACTTAGCTTAAACTTTTGTACTGTTTGGATGACAGATTGAGCAAGTGATGAATTCTTTCTTATCCTCAAAAACACTTTGCAAATTGAGATCCTTTAATTTTCTGCTTGACTTCTTAGACTTGTCATATTCACCGGGAAGTCGTTTTGCAGAGGCTGCTTGTTAATCCATACTTGGTGATTTGCATAATATTTTCTTTCTGCTAGAATTTAGGGTGATTAAGATGATCTTGAAAATATTTGAAAGTTATTGGAAAGTAGGTTCTCTTTTCGCGTTTTTTATATTTCAGATGTATTGCATGAGCATCTGCTTTATAGACGTAAAAATTCACACCATTTTCTTCAATTTTTTTGGTAAGTTTTCACACATCATGTGACCTCTATTTTTTTTTTGTCTGATGTAGTTCCCAATTTGGTTTCCATTGAATATTTGTCTTTTTATTTCAGTGGATACCAAGTTGTACTGTACTTCACATTATCCTCACATATATGTAGGGCAGCATATTTATCTAATGTACTTTCCACATTTATCATTTAGTGTTAACTTCCGGTTTTGATTACCATGGTCTACGGTTTTACGCTGAGTTTTTTTTTTATCGGCCCTGAACTTAGAAGAAAGTTGATATAGAAAGTGCAATCATATCAGTTAAGTACAGAACTTTTATGTTGGTGTCATTTTTGAAGAGGCAATGACTAGAAGATAGAATGATGTCAAAAGGGGCACAACACAGTATAAGTTTTCTCAACTGCCATATCAATAAAAGATCTTAATTTTTCTTTCCTTTATATTTTTTTTCTTACATACTGCTTTTAATTTTACTAATATGATTACTATGGTGTACTTCATTTCAGCTTCACTTAGTGTAATTTTACTTGGGTCAATATATCCAGTATAATTGCATAGTTTTGTCTCCATCTTGTCAATGGGCTAATTTTTTTGTGAAAAAAGAAATTCTCATTTGAAAAACAAGGAGATGTTTTACTTTCATGGTGGTAGGGCATCTAAGACTGCTTTTTAGCATGGTCTGGCTTCATTCTATATGCTGTAAGTGTAAAATTTCTTTAGATATCCTTCCTTTCCCTTCTCTCTGTCTTTCTGTATGTGTCTGTGTGTGAGAGGTGGGGGGTACATGCTCCATTAAACTCAATTGATTTTTTTATTTAGAGTTTAAATAAATCCCAACGACATTCCTTCACCTCTCAAATTTACATCTATTTTTATTTTTTTGTTGGAATTTGTCACTTAGAATGTACTTGGTTTACCAGCTGAAACTAACGTGCTTAGCAATATCTTCCTGTATTTTTTTTTTTTTTGTATTTTTGATTTTTTAATGCCCCTTCCTTTTAGAGGATTAAATGTAGGATAGTTTTTCTCTTTTTGTAGCAAATCTTACTACCCCTTCTTGCCTCTCTTCCTCTAGTTTGCTTAGTTCAAGTCTCCCTTCGGCATAAACCATTTATATTTTAAATTGGGAAATTTGGAGACCGGTCCCCCTATATGGACTTGTTTGGACTTAAATCCGTTAAGAAAACTTATTTATTATGAAGTCCGTTTTTTGTCAATTTTGGAATAAAATTAAAAATTAAAAACTCCTAAATCTTAGGAGTTTGACTAACATTAAAATCTTTTCTCTCACATATCTATCTATATCTATATATAGGTTAAGAGTTTAATTAACATTAAAATTTTTCCTCTCTCTTATCTATCTATATATAGGTTATATATATGTGTATATATATAGTAACATTAAAAATAAAAAATATTAATATTCAAATACAAAAAAAAGTTATCATTTAGACACAAAAAATAATACATTTCAATACAAAAAAATAGTAACATTTAAATATAAAAAAATTGAAAAATTCAATATTAATATTTTTAAAAAATAACAACAGTAACATACTTAACAATAATTATTTCTCTCAATTTTAAACGCAAAAAATAGTATAATTCAAATACAAAAAATAGTAATATTCAAAAAGAAAAATTAGTAACATTAAATATTAATATTTAGGAAAATAACAGTAGTAACATGGTCAACAAATACAGTAACATGTTCAAAAATAATAGTACATGAATAGTAACACTCAACAAAAGCAGTAACATAAACAGTAACATAATAAAAAAAAAAGTAACATGAATTTGAATTTTACTATTCAAATTCATAGTAACTTTTTTTTGTATTTGAATGTAACTATTTTTTTTTTAATGTTACTATATATATATATATAGATAAGAGAGAGGAAACATTTTAATATTAGTCAAACTGTTTACCCGTATATGGATATAGATAAATATGAGAGAGAAAAGATTAACTTCCTTTCAAGGAAGAGTATTTTTAAGATAAAAAAAAAAAGTGGACTTAAGTCATTGCATATAATTTTAAACATGGATTTAGCCCCTTATAAGTTTCCTTACAGAACTTATCTCCAAACAACTATATCTAGAGAGACTCACTTCCAATTTTCACTTTTAAATTCTAGTTTGGGCCTTTTTGGTCTACCAAAAGAATATCATAAGATTTATCATTAATCTCCTTATGAAGGGGCTCAAATTGCACTGCAGAAACTGGATAATATGATGTTGCTTTTAGTATAACCTATTTGAACCTTTTATTGCACTGGCAGTTTTTTCAGGTTAAATGACGAGCAACAAATAATTTTGTGAATGTTCTTTCTACTTGCAGAATTATTTAGATGCTTAAACAAAATGGCATTGTCTTTAATCCTGGTGCATATTTGACTTGTGGTTTAATGACTTTTTTTGCATGTTGGTATTCTCAGGATAGGTGTAATCCGATTATGACAGCATACAAGTTGGTGACAGTAGATGTTCCATACTGGGGCTTTGGTAGTCGACTGGAACAAGCATTTCTAGCGGTATTATTTCTTATATTCGTAGAAATTTAGAGATAATTGTTTTTGATGCAGAGTTCTAAAGGATAATATCCTTGTCCTTGTTCTTTTCAACGGTACATCTTTATAACCTTTTGTCTGAAAATGATCTACCCCTTTGACATTTACATAATGATTTCAAAACTCTTCGTTGGACTTTTAGGATTGTTGTCACCTGTAGTTTTTCTAACTATGCTTCAGCCTAAGATCTTTCAATGACAAGAGTAGACATCTGTATGTGCAGAGTCATTCTTACAACATACCAAAATATCTGTGTGCTCCTCCATTTGTGATATTCACTGGTCCCTAGCTGTTGATTTCTTTTTTTTTTTTTTTTAATTTTAGTTTTGCTTAATTTCGTTGCAATAATCTTCAAGTTATCCATTTGCATAAGTAAGAATTACTTGGAAAACCCCTATTCATGTTGAGATGCACTTTTTGCAGGGTGAAAGATCACTTTTCCTTGAAAGTCATCGGAATTGTTTTGCTTGGATTGACGAATGGTTTGGGATGACAGTAGAAATGATGCGAGAGCTTGAAGAACAAAGTGATTCCTCATTGAATAAGGTAAGAATATCATAAACTTCAGGCATTGCTTGGAAAGTAAAAGTGATCAATAATGATTACTACTGCTGATTTGACAAAAGAATAGTTCTACCAAGTTCAAATTGGCAGTGGGTCTTTCAGTGGCTTGTGAGATTTTTTGATGAAGTAAATTGTTTCTTCGAACAATTTCTAATTTCTTTGCTCCAACTTTTGAGACATGCTTATTCTACTGGCCATGAAATTCCTTCTCTATGCACGATGATAATTATCCTGGTACGTGTGCCTAAGAGTGTGCTTGTGCCTTTCTTTTTGCTTCTGTGTATATGTTCCAATAGATGCATTTGTTGCTCATATTGTCCAATCCAATGTCACATTGAAGGTCTTGTTTCTAAAGTTGTTTGAACTGGTTTGCTTTTCACTTGGCAAAAGTAAACAGTGCAATATTTATTGGGAACTGAGTTCATGATTTGTGCCATTAGCCAGTAATTCATTATCATGGTTTTGTAGCGTTGTTAAGTCTTTAAGAGCTCTGAGTTCTAAAACGGGGCGGAAGGGTGAGATTAAATGTTGCAGGACATTTGTCTTCCCTTGCAATCAGCTTTTAAGATTATCGTGCTTCATGGATTCAGAGCTGTTGATTGTGACTGACATTAGAATTACATGCTTTGCCTAAAGATCTTTTTCACTGTACATTGTCTTGTGAAAGCAAGAACAAGTTTTCTTTGTTGGCCGAGCTAAGATGATAGCTTTGTGAAATTGAAGCTCTCATAGGGAGCTTGTTTATATTAGTGATGATCTCTTGTAATCCTCAATCCTTAGTGCTGTGCATTGCTTAAACTAATGACATGAAAAGCACAACCTACTTGTTTCATCTGTGATGTGAATTATGAATGTTTCCATATCTTTTGGATGCCCATGCCCTGTTGACCTGCAACAATGGATGCTACATAACGGGTTATTGTTTACTTGTCTTGAAGATGCTTTCACACGAGTTAAAAGGAAAAGTAGATATTAGGGTTTATGAGAAAGAGAAGAAAGGAGGAAGAGAGGAGAAAGAGATTAAGACAAATAATCAGTTATGTAGGCTATGTTGTCCTACATTCTCTTATTTATAAAGCAAACTGATATTAGGGAAATTACAATAGTACTCTACACAACTAATAGTATAAATAAGGACTCTAACACTCCCCCTTAAGCTGGAGTATAAAAATAAAAAATTCTCAACTTGGAACAAAGATTATTGAAGACAGATTGAGACAATAGTTTTGTAAGGATATCACCCAAGTGATTACTAGACTTGATGTTTGGTGTGATAATCTCCTTACGCATTAAGAGATCTCGAATAAAATAACAATGTACTTCAATATGTTTAGTCTCATGAAATATCGAATTGCTGACAATGAAAATAGTTGTTTGGTTGTCACAATGCATCTCTGTAAGAGAGGGCACAATGATACCCATATCACGAAGTAATGAACGAACCCGCATCTCTCGTGCAATATGAGCCATGGCTTGGTATTCAGCCTCTGCACTCGAGCGTGCAAACATATTATGTTTTGCCACCAATAAATATACAATAACCTGATATAGATCGTCTATCGGTACGAATATTTGCCCCCTCAGCATTAGAAAAACCAGTAACAATCATGGAGGATGAAGGACAATATAATAATCTTTTATCTGGTGCTCCTTTCAATTACTGAAAAATATGACAAATAGCTTTCCAATGAGGTTTACGAGGATCATGCATGAGCTAATTAACCACTCCAACAATATAACTAATATCAGGGCGTGTAGCTGTAAGGTAAATCAGCTTTACCAACCAACCTTCGATAACGACCTACATTATCAAAAATTTCACTACTATCAGCATCCAACTTAACCATGGAATTCATGGGGTTATTAGCTCGATGTACACCAAGAGTACCAATTTCAGATAATAAATCCAATATATGTTTTCGTTGGCACAAATTGATACCTTCCTTTGACCGATCAATTTCAATCCCAATAAAATACTGAAGAAAACCTAGGTCTTTGGTATGAAATTGCTTTCTCCAAATGAATGTTAAAGTAAGCAATACCATCTGAGTCATCACCGCTAATGATAATTTCATCAACATACACAATAAGAATAATAACACCAGTGGAAGAATGACGAATAAAAACTAAATGATTTGATGTAGAATGCTGAAAACCATACCGAAGTATTACAGTACTAAATTTATCAAACCAAGCACATGGTGATTACTTCAGACCATATAGGACTTTCTTCAGAGGACACACTAATAGTTCCTAATAGATACAATATAACCTGGAGGTTGTACCATAAATACTTCCTCCTACGGGTATCCATGTAAAAAAGCATTCTTGATGTCCAATTAATACAGAGGCCAATCACAACTCACTACAACAGAAATAAGAACTCTAACAAAGTTAAGACGAGCAATAGGAGAGAAAGTCTTACAGTAATCCATACTATATGTCTAGATGTAATCTCTGGCAACCAGTGGGGCATTCAAAAGCTCAACTGAACTATCAATATGATACTTCAGTGTGTATACCCAATGACAACTGACAGACTGTTTATAGAAGGAAGAGAAGTAAGGTCTCATGCCTGATTCTCATTAAGGGTTTTCATTTCCTCATCCCTAGCTAGTTTCCAACCAGGAGATACTAATGCTTGTTTTAAACAAATAGGAACAAATACCGAAAAGCAGAGTCAATGCAAAACAACACACAGATAGTGAAAGTCGATGCAAAGAACAAAATTAGAAATGAGATGCTTTGCACAATTAAGGGTACCTTTCCTTAGTGTAATAGGCAAATTAAAAGATAATGAACTAGCTGACGGCTCAGGGGCAGGACCTTAGTCGAATCAAATAATGGTTGTGGAGTTGGAGCATATGTCTATCCTTGGAAGATGATAAACCTGCAAGGGATGAGGAGGACTTGGGGAGGAAGAAGATGCACAGTCTAACACAATAGGTAACAAGGGCTCCCCTTAACTGGAAAAGACTAAATATGAAGAAAGTATATCACCCGACACAGAAAAGGAGGATAACTCAAAAAAGGTAACAACAACACTGTGATAGTATCAACGATAAATAGGGTCATAGTAAGAATAACTTTTTTTTGAGTACGAAAATATCCCCAAAAGACACTTAACCGAGTGAGGTGAAAGTTTATCCCTACCCAAACCAAAGAGATGAATAAATGCAACATAACTAAAGACATGAGAAGTGAGACCAAATGACAGTTTATCAGGATAAAGTAATAAGAAGGGAGATTTATTATCCAAAATGGGGGAAAACATGCGATTAATAAGATAAACTGAAGTAAGAATAACATTAGCCCAATATGGTTTTGACACATGCATGTTGAACTTCAAGGTATAGGCAACATCCAACAAATGACAATGTTTATGAGGACATGTGGTTTGATGGATAATGCTACGGTTAGCACAAAAGATTTTTATAAATGATTTAGTATATTCAAGGGCATTATCAGACCTAAGAATATGGACACCAAATTGGGTTAGAATTTCATTATAAAAGGTGGTAAAGTCCTTGGATAACTCAGATTGGCCTTTCATAAGAAATAACCAAGTTATACGAGAAAAATTATCAATAAAGATCACAAAATATTAAAAACCAGAAGTACTTTTAACTCTCGCAGGGCCCCAAATGTCTGTATAAATAACATGAAAAAGACTAAATTGATGATGTGAAGAGTTAGAAGGAAAAGAATTACGGTGATGTTTGCCTAATTGACAAACTTTGCATTCTAACATAGAAGATTAACTCAAACTAGAGATGGCTTGATGCAACTTTTGTAATAAAGGATGACCTAGTCGAATATGACTTTGTAGAGGAGACACGGTTGTACTTAAAGGCAGGAAAGGAACTTTTGTGATCCAGGTAATAAAGGTTATTGCGCTCATGTCCCATACCAATCATATTTTTCATCTTGAGATCCTAAAAAACACAAGATAGAGAAAACGTTATTTAACACTGTAAGGAGTTGGTTAACTGATTCAAAAATAACAAATTAAAGAAAAAATTAGGAATGAACAAATCATTAATTAATGGCAAGGACTGAGTAGGACTAAGATCACCAGTCCCATGTATTGGTTGAAAAGAATCATCAGCTAACACAATACATGAGTTTGACGCACAAAAATTAGAGAATATGGAGGACATTCCAGACATATGAGCATTAGGTTCCGAATCAATGATCCAAGAAGACGAAGAAGGTTGAGTAAACAATGCATGTTGCGGTACCTCCATTAGCAACACTGGTAGTAGAAGCAAACAAACTTGAAGAGAGTGAAGACAACTTGTTAATGAGTTATGTAAGCTGAGAAGAAAGATCATCATGAGAGGCAGAACCAGAAGCAACCAGACCATTACATCCACTATGTCTTGTGCTCGGAAGCACAGATATTTTCACAAGAGAGCCGTGGCAGTGCCAAACACATGTTCGACACGGGCACGACCAGGATACGGCCGGACACGTGTCCAACACGGCTAGAAGAATCATGAATAGTAAACTTAGTTGAACACGGTCAGGATATGTATAGGACACAGTTAGAAATTTTTTATTAAAAAATAGCTTTTAACTATTAAAAAAAGTGTGATTTTTACTTTTTCTAATATATTTTTTGTTATGTAACTTGGATACTATGAATGTTAATAGATGTCATGATGTTTAATGAAAATGGCAGATATTTAATTTGATTTTTTTTAATTGTAATCAAAAAAATAATATTTGTTAAGTCTTATTATTAATATTGTTATAATATATGTTTTATTTTTAATATATTAAAATTCTATTATTATTTAAAAAATATATTATATTATTTTAATAACAGTATTCTTGTTGTACCCGTGTCCTATATTTTTTAACTTTGTCGTATTCCCGTATTCGTGTTGTATTGGATACGACACTAGTGTTCGTTTCCGTGCTGCCTAGGTCCTGTGGATAGACCTCCACAACTAACATTATGGGGCGGATCACAAGCATCATTCAAAAACACCATTGAGAAATCCACGGATGAATTATAACTCGACACAACACCTCAAATCCAATCAACACAAATTCAACGGGCCAAATTAAGGCAGAACAGTGCAAAACAACTAGAACGTAACCTACCTGTCACCTAAATAGGAAGAAATTAGGTTTCAATTCTATCCCAAACATAAAGCAACACCATGAAAATCAATCCTGATCAAACACAAACAAAACTACCCACTGTAAACAACACTACAACACAAACCACAAACACAAACAAAACTACCCACTGTAAACAACATTACAACACAAACCACATAGCAACCATTCCTTACCCAACAATAGCACAGACTGCCGAGGAATCCAGATCAAAATCCAACACAATAGCACACCCTCTTTATCACACAGTTGAAGGGCCAAGAACACAAAACACACTGTTCGAAGTACCTGCGCACCAGAAAAACAACCACCAAAGTGCCTGGGCACCGGAAAACCAACCGCCCAAGTGAAGATAACATACCAAACCTTAAATACATATATAAGAAAAAAATAATGGAAACCAGAAAGTTGGAACAGTCCCGTTACTGTCTGGTCAATGAAAAGAGTAGTCGAATGGCCTGAAGAAGGCAAAAATCACACTTAAACCAGCCTAAAAGGGCTGGGCATCATTGGGAACCATGTTGAAGCTCTAGTTGGCACCCTTGCATTATGCTTCAAGCAACAAATCAAGGAGAAAGGCCTCAGATCTGCAGATCTGAAAAATAGCTCCATTTTTTTTTTCTGAAAATAGTTCGAAAATAGAAAAACCAACTCAAATGACTTAAAAGGTTCTAAAAAAATCACCATAATTAATAGGACAATATTTTGAGTCGGACCACAATTTCAGTCACCGAAAATTGTTGACGTCACTTTTCCGACGATGGCGTCATTTTCCAGTGAACTTTCTGGCGATACCTCAGCGCTGGAATATCCTCCTAATCGTTTGTACTGTGTTGTTCTTGCAATTATTTGCTAAAAGGAAAAAAAACTTGCTGTGATACCACGTTAAAAGGAAAAGTAGATATTAGGGTTTATGAGAAAGAGAAGAGGGGAGAAAGAGAGGAGAAAGAGATTAAGAGAAATAATCAGTTGTGTAAGCTATGTTGCCCTACATTCTCTTATTTATGATAAACTGATATTAGGAAAATTACAATATTACTCTACAGTACTAAGAGTATAAATAAGAATTCTAACAGTACGTAAGTTAAGTATCCAGACAAAATATTTGTGTTAGGACCTAGGAAGTGGCTAGTAGCCATATTAAATAAGGATGTGTTAGAATATTTGTTATGCACATTTAATTTTAGTCGTCAGAGATTGAACTGTTTGATTATATGCCGATTTACATGTTTGGTGCAACATATATCCAAAGGATCTAACCAACAGAGCATGCATAGGGAAACAGTTTTCACCATGTCAACATACATTTGCGTTAGTATAGTCATACCCTTGGGCTAGTTTTGGGAGATGACCCTGTCTGCTAAATATTTTCATGTATTATTTTATGAGTTTTCTGAGTATGGGAGAAATGCCGAAGCAATTGTAAGGCCATTTCTAAGGGTCATTGTTAGCGTAATGGCAAAAAGCTCGAGTTGACAATGGAAAAAATGTGGGTTTGAATTTTTTTTTTTCGGAAGGTATGTGGGTTTGAATTTAAATGCAGAATTTTGGTATATAAATAATACTGAAGGTTAGGTTGAGACCTACAGCATAATGCCAGAATGAACTCTGGCTGGAGGCAGACAAATAATAGGGTTTTAAGGTTTAGGGTTTAGACGTGAGAGATGCGTATATATCATGTGCAACTACTAGAGTTGAATTCTTTCATGCACTTCAACCTCTAACTTATGGATCTTTCCAGTCTGAAGTCTGTATTATCTCCTCGACTTCTTAGTCACATTTTATGGATCCAACCCCATTTCTTGGATGAAATCATTGTTTATCTAGTACATGAAACTTGCCGAATAGAAAGTATATGTATTTGGTTTATCCTATTGGCTTTTGACTTACTAATGCAAGTTCTAACATTCTTCATGAAAACAGAAACTCGGCAAGCCAAAATTTTAGTGGCAAGCGAAGCCGAAATACGTAGCCAAAGAAGATGATTCATTTGACAGTGAGGAGGAGGAGATCTATGACAGAAGATCCCAACTTTAATCTGGGAATCATGGTTTGCTGCTGCTACTACACCACCTATGGATGTAACCATATGGTACTACTGCAGATGGTGCTAGCAAGAGGATGGTGCAAACTTTGTTTCATGGATCAGATTCTTCCAGAATGATCATAGTATACTATATAATGATAATAATGTATATGTCCTGAAGAAATGTACAGAGTAAAATAAGGAAAAGGGCTAATATTTGTAATTTAACAGGGCGGTGAAATATGATTTACCCATTTATGTATTCCTTTCTATAACGAATTTGTTAATATTGTGCTGAATTTCCTGATTTATATAAAATCCTTGTGTTAGGAGAGAATTTATAATTTCATCCCAAATTACAGGGGTTAATCTAAAGGGGATTTTAATTTATGATTTGTTTAATAAAAAACCACTTTTGTATTCAAAAAATATTTTAAAGCGATCCATATGTTATTTGCTTGAGCTAATGGTTCTTTAAATCTAAGAATAATACTACATGGATTTGAAAATTAGATTTGATAATCACAACTATTGAATAGGTGATGGGTCTCAATAAATATTGGGACTTACAGTAAAATTAATTGTTGTAATTATTAAGTCTAATTTTTAAATTCATGTAGCATTGCTCTAAATCTAAATTCAAGCATGATGCTATGTTATTACATATAAACAACTAATCATAAATTATAATGTATGGAAAATAAATTTTGCTTAATCAAATAATCAATTTCACTTAATTATTTTATTAAATAAAATAGGATCATTATACAAAGTTATAATTAATAAATTATGTATTAATAATGAATTGATATTAATTTTGGACTTGCCCTCAAATCTATTACTCGGCCCGAACTTGACCCATGAGCCCGCCTGCAAAAACCCAGCTCATGAGCCTGCTTGCCAGCCTAACCCAACCCCGCCTGCATAGTCCGTCCGTGATTTCACCCAATTGTTTGAAAAAAAAATTGACTATTAAAATTTTGTAAGTTTGGCGGTAACTGTATTTTATTTAAATAAAATTATTTATTATTTATTTTTTTTTTATTTTGACTCTATTTTTAATTCAAAAATATAATTTAAAAAAATATTAAGTTGAAAATATTTTAAATAAAATTGTATATATATAAAAAAAGTCAACCCAGTAAGTGACTGGTTAAACTACGGATAGTCTATCCTTACCTGAACCTGACCCGGCCCACCAAATAACTCGTTCGAGTAAGGGCTTAGACCTATATTACCCAAAGCCAACGAAAAAAAAAATTCGCAATCCTAGTCTAGCCCGGGCCATGGACACCCATATTATTATATGTTGTCACCATTACTCAATTATAAAACAACAAATAAGATTGATGAATTCCACTATTTCAATATGACAAAGATAGTTATTGATAGTTAGTAAAATAATGGAGCTCATTAAGTGTATTTGGTATTCTATCATTGGCTGGTGACACCACATCATTAATACCATATAGCATTACCGTTACATCCAATATATATATATATATTTTTTTTTTTCGTATTACACATTTACACAATTCCATCATCCAATGAATGAAGAGTTCATTTATAAATAGAAGTAATGCTATAAATTCAAATTCAAATAAAAAGTTTCAAAATGCATATTATTTTAGCGAAGATGATGATCTGGATCCCAATTTGTTTTATTTTATTTTATTGATTGCTATCGGAACTATTTTGTTCAAAACTATGAAAACTGTACTAAGGATTCATCAGGGGCTCTCAGGAGAGCCAGCACTAGGGTTTCAACTCTCTTCACCAAATCCCTCAGCCCCAAAATTATCCTCTCGTTGGCCACCCATTTCTCCGCCACCGCAGCCGCCACCACCACTCACCACATATGTATTGATAAGTGTTTACTGCAAATAAGTCTTTTATAGTTCCATGCCAATTTTGTTTTCAAAGAAACAAAAGGGGAATTTATTCTGCAGTTGAGAAGGCATACAGTGTATTACTACTGTAATCTCCGAAGAACGAGAATAACATCTAGTTTATAGGTAAGTACTCAACTCAACTCAACTCAACCCGTCCATAGACAATTGTTGTATTTTGTTCCTTTTCTTACTTGCCAGACAGTTTTAGCCACCCTCCCGGCTTTCACATCACTGTGTACAAAAAAATAGTATGATTTTCAGTTGGGTCACAAAAAGGTCGACGTATTTGTTAATAGATTCGGTTTATGGGTGTCCTACAGGCACCTGTTAAGGTGAAGAAAAAAAGATGAGAAGAGAGAAGAAAGAGGTAGCAAGAAAGTAGGGGTTAATGTAGTTTGAAGAGAGAGAGAGACGAGAGGGATGGGGGGTGGCCGAATGGGAAAGAATGCTGGAGAGAAAATTTTTCATGAATCATGTTTTATCATGTGGTGATAGTAATAGAGTGGATCAAACCTTAGAGAAAATATGGGGATAAACATGGGACCTTTCTGAGGATACAAATGAAGAGTGATCTATCATTGATGGATTCTTGTATTTATGATATTTTTTTAGATTAGAGCAAACAATAACTATTTCAGAGGTTAATTTTGCATAAATGATGTTGTGATAACCAATTTTGCCTTTTCTCCTCTCCTCCAGCCCCCCCCCCCCCCCTTTTCTCTCCCTCCCTCTCCTTTCTTCTTCTTTCCCTGCACTCTTAGCTGTTCTTTAGACCTCTGTAGAACATTATTTATGTAGTCAAATGCAACGGTCATGTTGGCTCTTTTTGGCTAAACTTCAGTGTTCATGCTATTGCCCTTCAACTTATGTTATAACCATTACATGTTTGATGAAATGTTCCTCAAAGGGGCTTTTCATTATGGTTATTGTTCATGTTTGTAATAAAAAATTTCTATGTCTTTTTCGGAAAGTAAAATTCCTACGTTTTTCATTCTTTTGTTTTTAGATAGTTATTGGTACACCATTGGATAGCTTTACTTTATGTGGCCGAGTTTAGAATCTTCTTTTATTTCTTGTGAAGGATTTAATGGCCCCAAGATGGAAAGGCAAGGGCGCAGAAGGTAAAGCTCTTGCAGATCCCATTTCAAAGATCATTTCTCAACTTCAATCTTCTCTAATTTTGTCGAAGTCTCAAGGTTTACTCTCAGGCAGTAGCGTAATCCTTGAAGCAGATACAGAGCAAACTGACTTTCTCAATCGTGCATGTTTTGGCCGACCTATAATCACAGCTGAGAAGGATAAACAGTGGTTTCAATTTACTTTGGAGGAAGCTTTTTACCTATGTTACTCCATAAAATGTATCACAATTGTAGGTGAGAATAATTGCATAAGAAGTGATGAAGAGGTATGGAAATACATGAAGTCCAAGAAAGAATCCTTTCCTGAATTTTTCAAGGCCTATTGTCATCTTCGGATGAAGAATTGGGTGGTTAGGTCAGGATCCCAGTATGGTGTGGACTTTGTTGCGTACCGTCACCATCCAGCTCTGGTGCATTCTGAATATGCCGTGCTTGTTTTATCAGAGGGAGATGACAGTGCAAATGGTCGTTTGAGGGTCTGGTCTGATATTCACTGCACTATTAGACTTTGTGGCAGTGTTGCAAAGACATTGTTAATTCTTACTGTCAATAAAAATGGGCATAGGGCTATCTCTCCATCATGTTTGGAGAGTTACAGTGTCAAAGAGCACACGGTCACTAGATGGAGTCCAGAGCAATGTCGTGAAGATCAACCAATTGTTGAAAATCGAACCAATGGATAGATTTGACTTCTTGTCTAGACTGTACTATTTGCAGGTTTCATATATTACATATTGATCTAAACCTGATATGTTTGAGTATTGTTTGGCTCTCCGATGGAAGGCTCTAGACATGTGCAGACCATTTAGAGTGTCATCGGATTTATCTAAACCCAGGCACCATGGTATTCTGTTGTGATGATCCAGAGGGAAGTAGAGGAATTTTTGGTACATGGTTTCTTTTTGCAAAAACCTCTATACCCTATATAATTTTCTCAAGTCCACCTGTTGCTGGACAGCCGATCTCTCTCCAGCCTTTCGCCAGTGCAGGGGTAATGTTCCGCTGCCTCAGATATCATTTCTTGGAAATGACCAACTACAGTTGAAATCAGGTTACTTGCTATTTCTCAAGTTCTCAGGTGAGATTCAGGACAATATTCAGTCCTTATACACCCATAGCTGTGCCCATCTATCATAGTAAGTTGCCCTCTACTATTATATCATGTAACAATGCTGCAATCTTTCCCTTTTCTTTGATTAATGGTAGTTGTTCTAAGAGAAGTATTGATCAACTAGTTTGAACTATGAACATTGTGTGCCCCTTTGGAATGGATGCTATCATGAAAAATTGCAGTCATGGCACATTGATAAGTATCACTAGCGTTCTTTAAACCAAAAAGGGTCACTTTGTAATATAAGTTACCTATCGAAGTTCTGAAGGCAGGCTTTTTCTCATCCTGAGCCTTGTCGTTCTTTTTTTTTTTTTTCTCTAGGTGACAAAAAAAAAAAAAAAAACAAACAGGTGAACCTTCTATGACAACTAAATTGCAATCAAAGCTTCAACATCATATCATAGGCAACATGTAAATTTCTGAGTGAAGTGAAAATACAACACAATCAGAACAAAATATACACCCAATCTACCTTCAAAACGAAAATCACCAGGAAAGATTCCTCACATCCTACAGAGTAAAACAAGTCAACCCTTCAGAATAAGACACAGAACCTCCCATAGTCAGATACATTATCCAGATAACTATATAAGGTTTTTTCGAATTTGAGTTCTAATTCTCAGTTTTATAACATCCTTCTTAGAAATGTAGCCTGCTAGGCTGTGCCTTCTCCATTCGGGTCTCGCCATAAGGTTCATCGTTGTCGATACGTTTGGTGTGCCTAAATGCTGCACAGGCAACCACATAAACAATGACCAGGATGATCACAATTACAATATTGATCACAGAGACCTTTCTCCAACTCTTCTTCAGGCTGGCCAGTACACCAGCTTTGCACGAGTTGCAAGAATAACACAGTTGTTCTTGATCATTGCTCCACTGGAGGCAATCGAGGTTGGTTCCTCCCATCCCTCCTACGGGGTTCCAGCCCGTCTCGTTTACGTATGTATAGCCGCAGGATGTCGGGGGCTTGCAACACCCAGACTACACAAATTAATCATGCCAAATGAAAAGGTTCATTAAGAATGGTCTTGTCGAACGTATTTTTCAATATGCAATTGTAGATCATTATCATAAATGTAAATGTAATGTATCTGCACATATGCACTATAATAAAGTTTAAATTGTTACCATGAAGTAAAAAAAAAAGAGATTCGAAACAATGACAAAATAAAACTATTAGAATAAAAACATGATCTTTAGGCAAAAACGGACCCCTTATTTCATTCGCAAGTAACTGGTTGAGAAGAAACTCTCGTGTCCGGTTCTGTAGTAGATATGGAATTGAAAAACTACTATTAACTATAACCCCAAAAGAACAAGATTACGTAAACAACATAGAGGAAAAATGACGCGAATATCTTATGGAGTGGAGGTGATCGTTTTATTTCGGTAGATATGCTCTTCATGCACTTGAACCCACTTGGATCACATCTAGACAAATAGAAGTAGAGCATCGAGCAATGACACAATATGCATATCGTGGTGAAAAAATATGAGTACATTTATTTCTAGACACCAGTTACAGTAAAACCTACAAAAAGACGTATGAATTTGGAAAAAGGATCTAAATAGTTAGTGAAGTCAAGAGGGGTCAACTAGACTTTTCAGCTACCACAATGATGGTGTTATTGTTGGAAATTTCTTGATAAAATATCTGAAGCATCTGTCCCATGATTTTTTGGGGTATTTTAGTCAAATATGTCTAAGAGATATTATTTATGGGGACCCCATTTATAATTGACACTGTTTGGGAAAGCAACAAAAACATGAGCAACATCACATCAATAATGTAAAAAGACTGGGAAGAGACAGGGTCCTATTTATTGAGTCTGTTTATGAGAATTTAGGCTCCCAGCCATCCCTCTCTCTCAAACCAATTACAGTAGGCCACACCATAACATTGAGGGAGGGTTGTCCATGTTGTTAGTGCTGGCTATAATTTATCATGGAAGAATGTATGACCAGGCCCGGGCAGCTCTCTGTAAAGTTGTAAAACCATGTATGAGAGCTAACGTCTATCCAATGCCGCCACTTATTTAATAAACTTTTTTTAATAAACACAACTTTACGGCTTTACCCTACGATGAAGATGAGTAATATCCGCTCAACACTGTTACGCAGATCAAATTTTTTTACCAAATGTTTGGTTTGGTAAGTGATGTAATACAGTTTTCACATCATTTGAAATAAAAAAATTTGATAATAATCTTGGTACGCATAACATTACATTACTGATAACTGCTTTGGTTACCAAGAAAAGACACAAGAAAAATAGAAATCAGGACAGGACAGAATGACAATGAAGTGTAGAGAAGGGCTCTAATATTCCCAGACCACCACTAGTGATATTTTGGCCCCTGTTCAAGTCCAACCAAGCATTGAAACCAAACGAAGGATAAAACCAAAAAGGAGGATATTCTATTTCTACCAAAAAGGGAAGGCCAAAAGGATAGATAGAGGCAAAAAACAGCTACTAAAAAGCCAAAGCCAAATGGATAGAGAGAGAGAGAGAGGGGCAAAAAAATAATAATTGTACCCTTTGAAAGTTATTCTCTTTAAATTTTGATTTTCAAATATTCACCCACTTTCAAGTCTAATGACATAAAGTTGGTACTCTTCATTAAACGACAATGGTTTGGGCAAGTGGTTCAGACGTCTCATCCTTAAATAAAGGTGGCCCAAGAAAACCAAAAACTCTTTTCATTCTGCACCCATAGTATGCCCTCTTTCTTCTTGGCATCATTCTGGCCATATGGGTAAAAGATATTTTTAATCTTCAAAAATGTATCTAGTGTTTATTTAATCTCTAATTTACAAATTATTTTTATTTCATCCTTAAAGTTCTTTAATTTATATCTAAGTAATTTCATTCATAAAAAAAAAATCGTAACAGTTCTAGTCACACATCTGTCACGTGATTCCTAAATTTATATCCATTTAGTCCCTAACCTTACTACTTTGTGTCTAATTTATGTCTGTTTAAGCCCTGATTGGCACGTGACAAGGAACGCTAACGATCTTTTGACAGCCGTTTCAAATTAAATACAAATTAAGAATCTTAAGGACCAAATAAATAAATATTATTTATAAATAAATAAGTAAATATTACTTAAGGACCAAATAAACAAATAATTAAAAATAATTTCGTCAATTAAGTTTAAGCTAACACCCTCCAAACACAAGCTCACCACTTCCCAAGAGAAGAAAAAAAAAAAAAAAACACTTACCAACTTCATTGCCGAAAAAGCTACCTGTACTCAATTTCTTAACTAAATTTGTATTATTGTGATTGAATTAATAGAGAGTTTCAATTTCAAATCAAATTCACAGTGCAACAACGATAATAGAGGATTAAATTATTAGTAATAATAAAATAAATAAATTAAATACGAATAATATTACTCTTGTAAAATATCATATACACGACTATGTATGCAGAAATTCATCCCAAAAAATATGCAGAAACATAAAAAAATTATCAATTTTTAAAAAAAAAAAAAATAAATTAAGTTAAGAAACAGCAGTGTATGTTAAGGCAAGGTAGGGGTAGTAAGTACCTGAACAGGATTGAGTTTTCTGCGGTAAAACGCTTCAGCAGCCTCAGGGAACCCACCGGTCATCCTCCTCAACTTAGGACACACATGAGAGTCTCTAATACAAGAACTGATCTTCCTCCAATTACTGTCACTCGCCACGCGCTTCTCCAGCCACCCAGAGTAGTCCGCCAAGTAGTACTCGCGGTAGACCCGGCCCGGCACGACCCGGTCCGACCCTTTATCAGTCACGACATAGGCGAAGATCACGAACCCTATTAGGGCAGCTATGATGACGAACATGGCCCACAAGTAGAAGTACATGAGGAAGATGTTCCGGTAACACGCGCCGGCGAAGCCCGCGAGTGAGACCACCATGATGGCGACTCCGATGACGATGAGAGGCCACTGGAGGAACTTGAGACAGTCTGTGTTGTTGGCTCTGCCGCTTAGCCATATTCCACCACCCAGTATTGGGATTGATAGCAGGAAGGTTAGGAAGTTCAGTGCACCTATCAAATGGTTACTGGTTCTCATCTCTCTCTAAACTTCTTGTTTCTCTCTCTTTGGTTCTTGGTTGTTGAGAGAGCTGGGGACTTAGATGTAAGATGTAGGGTGATATTATTTAGTGTTTTATAGATGCAGTATGAACAGTGGGAGTGATGGGGTTGACAGAAAGACAATAGGGGGTTTGCCATAAATTATTTAACAAGTCATTTGTGAAATGACAAATATATCCTTTTGAATAGGGGTGTAATTTTGGAGGATTGAGTGGGTAATTTGGTCTTCTAAATTGCGGAAGTGTGTGGTTAGCTCAGTGCCGGCCCAATCTTTAGGCCATTGCTTAGCCCCCAAATTAGAAAAGAAAAATTGGGTCTTCGTAATAAAATAAACAAAGATATATAATTAAAATTTTAAAATATATTTTAATTATTAAATTAATAATAATTGCTAACTTTAAACAAAATTCATTATTTATCTAATATACTTGGTCATCAAATTAAGTACAATTAGTATTATTATAAAAATTTTAGAACCTGTTTCAAAAAAATTTAGGATCTTAAAGTTCAACTTATTTTTTTATCTCACCCGATATTAATATTATATATATTATCACTTTAAAGTGTTATTATTAAAATTAATTGTCTATCGTATAATAGATACAAATAATAATTTTACATTTGTATAAATTAAATTTGAGGTTATTTTTTAATAATTTTGTTTACAAAGTACAAAATGACTATAAAATAGATTGAATAGAAATAGTGCACTAACTATCTTTTTTATTTAAAAATAGTTCTTTTTCTCTATGATATCTAACAACTAGATGTAACTCATGTCTGCAGGCACGGTGCAATATAAGTGAAAAGTGATAGATTTAGGGAAGAAAATTCAATTTGAATGGTTTTGAGACAAATGTTAGTAGTCATTAGATAAGTCTATTTAAGATCGTCGAATGGACTTACTAAAGTCTACCCTGATTTATTTTATAGATGTTTCAATTATGACTACTCAACTTGTATAAATTCTTATTTTTATATACATTTAGAAAAAAAATTATTTTACTAGTCAAATTAATTTTCAATTATATTTTTCTTTTATCTTAAACAAATAGTATGTATCATTGTATTTAATTTTCGTATTTGACTTTGATTAACACAATTTTTATTTATAAAATTTAAATTTAAAATTTGAATTAGTCTGTCTATATCTCAAAAGACAAAACAAATAATTTATGCATATATATATTTTAATAAATATTTAATATTACTGTTATTACTAAATAAATATTTATAAGACCTCATATGGTATTTGTCTAGGGCCCAAATTAGGTTGGGCCGCCCCTGGATTAGCTTGAGCCTAGGTTAGTTTCTTGATATGTGGCCGTGTGGCTGTGGCCGTGGCTGTAGCTGTGAAGTCAAAGGGAAGATGGCACGCAAATGAAAGGTCGATACTATGTTTATCTAAATTTTTATTAAATTTCAAATTTCAAATAAATATCAAGGATTAATTATTTTTTTATTTTTATATGATTTCGGTTAGAAATATCTTATTTACGTGACGTTTAAAATTATGCACATTACTTCATTATAATTATATACTAAAATAAAATGATTACTTTTATCATCCAAGTTAGAGAGTGTGCTCCACATGTTCAAAATATGCAGTGGGTTTTGTTTTCAAAAAAAAAAAAAAAAAAACATTGTCTATGTTGTGGGCTTTGTTTTCATTATTTTTCTTCAAAATAATATTGTCTAAGTGCCTAAAATAGGTTTTATAATATATGGTATAATACTCAAATAAGTCAACGGTTCAAGTTTTCCTTCTCCTCTCCCTACCAAAAAAAATAAATAATAATAATAATACTTAAATAAGTAGGATATCGGTCCCAACTAAAAAAAAATGTAAGAAAAAAATAAGTGATTTTTGACCTTAGATCAAAACCTCACACGAGGGAAAAAGAAACTCAAAATATTTGATTGAAATGTATTTGATTTATTATCATATTCCATTAGTTTTGTAGTCAAAAGTAAAACAGACAAAAAGTCTGATTTTAAAATGTAGGTATTATAATAATTTTTTAATTTTATTTACGGCGTCAATTACTTCACTTTGGTACATAATTATAAGAAGATAATGTGTATAATTTTAAACTTCAAGTGAATAAAGTGTTTATAGTCAAAATCACGAGGGAATAAAAAATAATTAACCCCAATATCAATTTTTTAATTATTTTTTTTTTTTTTGATCTGAACCCTAATATCAATCAAAGAATCAATATACCCTTTTGAGAGGGGTATTATTTTGGATGGTTGAGTGGGTAATTTGGTCTTCTAATTTGGGAAAATGTGAGTGATAAGTAAGTTCATGTCGGTTTCTTGATCTGTGGTTCTGGGGGCGAGTTGGTGATGGAGTGATTTGACTAAATTTGAAAAGGCTTAATGGGCTAGTCTTATATGATGAAATGACATATATGCCCTGTTGAACAAGGGAGATATTTTGGAGGGTTGAGTGTGTAAATTGGTCTTCTACTTGAGGGAAGTGTGAGAGATAGGTGTAGACTTGTAGTTAGCTTGTGGTTGTGGAGTGATTTGGTTGATTGAGTGAAGATTTGATTAGATCATTAAAGAATGACTTTAATGGATCAGTTGCATGTGTTAGGCTTAAAAAGCTGTGTCAATGCTTCATTGGGTATTTTCTTGAGAAAATACTGCATTGAGTCTGTAATTTTAATAAAAACAAGTGAAAGGGTATCCATTCGTACCCAAAATTATAATTTTTTAAAATTATATTATATTTTTTTTGAAATATAAGTTATAATTTTAAAACATACGATCGATCATAGAAGATTGAGATCAATACAAAGAATTCATAATTAATTATGAATGTTGTAATCGATCATGACCTTCTCTTGAGTAATTATAAATTATTCTCTCAAAGTTATAATTTTATCATAAAAAATAATAAATAACAGTTTTCGGTACCATAGACTTTCCCTAAAAACATTATAACACATATTCAACTTTGACCTTTTAAAAAAAATCAAATATTTGATTATCTCAAAAACCTTTTTTATAAACGAAATTCATCTGATTAGTTTTAATTTTGAATTATTAATTGTTATGTAGGAGTCATGATATATAGGTGCCCTAAATTGTGTGCCTATGTATATCAAATCAATTCAAATATTAGTCATGACTCGTGTTTAAATATATGATAAAACATAAAATTTGAGTGTTTAAAAAATTAATTTTATTATATTAAATAATATTTTTTCCTTCATTTATTTAATTACCTCATTTAAAGTTTATTTTTATCAATTATTTTTTAAAAAATACCAACAAAAATACATAATTCGATAAATTTTTTCAACATGTGTATATTATTGTGTATAAATAATGTCTGAAATAAAAATTATATTAAACTACAAATTAATCAAATGTGTATGAGATAAAATTTTAAACACTTACCTGTTTTATTATATAGATAATCATAACTTGTGCCCGAAGACACCGAAGACATGATGCAATATAAAATTCAACTGACCAAAAAATTGAGCTCAATATATCAATTATAATTTTTTCTTTTATTCTTTTTTTTTAATTAGCAATGTACGATGTGCATTGCACGTAAATAAATAAATAAAATATTATTTTTATAGAAAATGTGAATTATATGTGTAATTCAATTAAATAATAAATTAAGTGCTAAGTAATTATTTTTATTTTAATTATTGTTAAATTTAATAATTAATTTATTCTACAAGTCTTTGAGTATTTAATATATCATTTATTTAGATATTTTTTCGATCCTTTTAGGCATTTATAGATCTAATTATATTATAGATTATTAATTTTTATTTTGTTAAATAGATTGATTGGATCATTTATAATATTATTATATTATTGTAAACCAAAAAATTTATATAACATATATTTGACTGTAAAATTCAATCTAATAATGTAAATAATTAATTTAACATATATAGGAATTTATTTCTTCATATAGATATAAAAAATTATTTGTGTAATTAAACTACTAATAAATGAGTTCAAAATAATTTAAAAGTCCTTATAAAAAAAGTTCAGAACAAGTTAAAAGTTAAATAGTAGTAAAAAATAAAAATTAGATGAAAATGAATAGGTGGGTATAATTAATTTTCTATTTTATCACTAATTATTATGACAAAATCAAAAGTTTTTAACAAATGCGAACATTTATAAATAGTATAAATTACACAATTTAAAATTCATTTGTGTCTATTATTTAAAAAAAATTGACACAAGTTTCTCAAAATGCATGACTTCAAAAGAGTATCGAAATAGCTAGATTAATGATTCAACTTGTGATAAAAATAAATGATACGATAGAAATGAGTGAAAAAAATATTTGAAGACAAAATTCAAAATTCTAATTATCTTGTTATTGAAACCTTATCATCCACAATATTGTAAGGACTATGGAGTAAATATTGGGTGTAAGATACACCACATCATCAATGACACCTAATATCATCATTTAATAATAAACTTACACATATGTAAGATGAACTTCACTTGGATAGTTAGTAAATGACACGATAGGAGGGTTACTAAAATTTGTGGGATCCACCTGCTTATTTATTATACTTTTATTAAATGGTGACATCACATAACAATGATGACGTGATATCACCATTGCACCAAATATTTTTTCGTGGATTGTGGTAGCCTATCTGATAAATAATCCACAAATAAATAAAGTGAAGTTTATTTCTTACATAGTTAGTGATAGACCATATTTTACATCAATGGGGAGGGCCCACATCACATGGGTGTATCATAATAAAGACCCAAGATTTATCTTTTTCAGACAACTTAGAGCTTGTAACCTTGTTGATTGACCAATTAGATTCAAGCACAATTTTTAATATTTGCAGAGACATATATATCAAGAAAGTATCAACTCGAAGAGTATGATCTCTCCACGATAAGTACCTCTCCACTTTCTCTATAAAGATGGGTGAAGACCCAAAGGTAGGGAGGCCTGAAGTATGAGCACCTCGACTCCATGCTCCACACACACCTTTGTTCATTTTTTTTAGCTTTATACACTAGTCTATTCACGTATCGATCGCAATACTGAGTTAGGCATCGGAGGGGCCTCCCCTAGCTCAACTTCGGGGGTCCCT